TTACTTTTTTCATCGTAACTCACTCAATTCACACTCAATTCATCAATTGCCACCACAGATATCCCTCTGCATCTTTGCTTTTCAATTAACCACAAATAAATACAAGTAATAAATCGCCCGGCCTCCAGCCGAGAAAATCACCCTTCAGACATACACAAATGTAAAACATGTATCTAATCATCCCCAAACATCAATCAGCATTCATTTAAAAACACAACTTTTTTTCAATATCGAAATTATTACTCAGTTCACAGCTACCTGTTTCAAAATACCTTGTGTAAACACAACGTCTTCATTTTATCACGCTGCAATTCATAAACAAATTCACGTCGCGTCAACAAACTTCTTGTCATCATTACACTTTCCTTCCGGCAAACACAAATTTCTCTGCTTAACTTGCTTACGAGCACGCGCAACGTTGTGGAGAGCACAAGCTTTTAAATGACATGCATTAACTCTACTTTCTGTGACACAATCAAAACTCACACGATAGCGTACATTTTAACGTTTCTTCTTTTTCTTATGCTTGCATAATGTAGTTACCCAAATCATCTTTTTTCTCATTTTTCACACTATTTTTTTACACAAACAAAATAGTTTTAAAAATACATATAGTAAACAAGACACACTCAGATTTGCACATCCACACACTTGGATACAACACTGCATCATTATTTCAGGAATTGATTTTCACCGTCAACACCATTAACAAGGCATCAATACATCATCACTGTGAAATACAAACAAACGCATATTTAAACCATTTAAGTAACAAATGTTTCTTAATAGGAATTATGTAAATACCAGTCTCTACAATGTTTTTTTTTTTTTTTTTTTTTTAAAAAAAACTCATTCACATTTCTAGAAAATATCTTTACACTCAAATAAATTCAACTCCAGGAACTTAAGTGTAATGATCTGAATAATGTCCAGGTTATCACATGGCGCATTTGATACGAACGTTCAGTCATACGTAGTACTCAATATAAAGTGAAATTTAGTATTAAATGAGCAATAATAGTTATCTTTCACTATTCACAGATACGTTTATCTTTACTTTGAAACTTTTACGACTGATGTTACCAAATTAAATTGATTAAATTCCCATTTGAAGACCACACTCTAAAACTGTATTAAGGACAATGGATCGCAGTTTGCTTACGATAACACATCGAATTTTCGGTTGTAAGACAGCTTTCAGTCGTGTATAGTGTTATGATTACAAAGATGTATATGTCTTTTAACAAAACAACAAGCAATGAGAACACTGGTCGACGGTACCTGCATTTTTCAGCAGAATTTACACCTCGTCTGAAAACAACACAAATAATCCGCCATTTTGCGCACATGTGCGGGGATGCGCCTCGAAACGACATCCGGTACGGAAGCCTTCTTTTCTATTCGCCATCGTTGCAAGTTCTTTGATGTGATTGTGTGTTTGTATTTCGGTTATTGATGTTTTTATATGGTTTGGCGGGTATTTGGATCGCT